GAGATATAGAATGGGGTCTAAAAGGGGGCCAAATATTTATGCTTCAGTCGAGACCCGTAACTAATTTAGACAATTCTTACACCGATTACGAGATTATGCATGAATTGGATTCATCGCATCCGACAGAGACAGAGATCTATTCGCGCGCCCATTGGGGTGAAATATTTCCCGGCTCCTCCTCATGGATTTGTTTGCAATGGTTTTGGGCCAATAAAAGCTATTTCTTTGTAAAATAAACGTTTAATGTAACGATGATTAAACTATACTAATATTTAGATACTTATAGCGTCAGGGACTCAAAATTGGTGGCAAAGTTATAGACGATTACAATCCATTCTTTGAAAACATGGGCATTCAGTACAATCAAGTGATGTTCAATTTGAGCAGTGTATGAAATGTCACTAAATTTTTCTAACATGAATACTAAAATTTATATTTAAATTGATTTGATCAGGGTTATTATAATTTTTTTGCGGGTTACCCGGAGGCAAAACACGCACAGTCTATGGTATTATCAATGTTTGGCCATCAGATCGACGACAAGGATGTCCTCCAGTTATTCCGGGCGCAGGGATTGGAGGCCCCGAAGCCATCGCTTACGGGAATATTCCCGATGTTATCGTTTATAATAAATTCATTACTTTTTGGGCCGAAAAACTTGATTAAAACAAAAGAGGAGATCATTGATAAAAATCCATACGATTTGCTGGACATTTTGAAACAGTACTCCAATAGTAAAGATATATTTAATAAGATATTAGACAATCAGTACTTTATATCAGACACGGCGTTGAAAAATCACGGCCCGATCTCTGTCTATACGGCAGTTAATGACGCGATTTTGAAGGCTATTCTGGAGAGCGCTTCCAGTGAGTGATTAATTGTATTTAATAAATTTGATAATTATTTTCTATTTATGCTTCTATTGTTAGATAATAGCAATAATATTGAATCGGATTATAATTTAATGATCTCTTCGGCGACGGATGTAATCAGTGCTGAAGTGCCAAAGATTTTATGTGAAATCGCAAAATCTATTAAAGACAAGCAATGGTTCCGACAATTGAGTGATGAGGAAGCGCTTCGAGTGTTGACCACTGGAACCAATGAGTCCTCACAAAAGTTTAGATACTTTATTGAAAGACACGGACACAGAGGGTATCGGGAATTGGATCCCATGTATAAGCCATGGAAAAGCAATCCAATGCCTTGTATTAAAACTATTAAAGTACAGTATAATTAATTATTTGTGTTATTTTCGTCATTAATTTGTTGTAATTATTTATAGACAATATTATCGGGAAACGAATCACAATTTGAGGCAAAGATTGAAAAATCTGTTGAAGAAGTGGTGAATGGATTAAAGACACCATTGACTCCATTCAAGAAACTACTGATAAAACACGTATTACTTCCGTGGACTCGAAGAGGGATTGGATACCGAGAGCTATCAAAATATATAATGGTTTGGATGAACAACAAATGTAATGAAGGTTTTTGGCATTTGGCTCAACAAATGACTAAAGAAGGACTCATACCATCGGTGGACACATTTTTCTACTTGACTGTCACTGAAGTGGAAGCGCTATGTAATGGACAAAGAGATCCATTGATATTCTCGAGAGTAAGACAACGGCGAAGACTTTATCCAAAAATGGATAAATACAAGTTTGAAGAGTTTATTAAAGGACCCGAAATGAAACCCAGAAATGTATACATTAATCATATAATTATTGTACTATTTTTAAATTACAATTTTTCGCTGTAATAGTTTGAAGACAGGATTATACCTCCAGTCCTGACCTCAGGTATGGTTCAAATGACGGGAACACCAGTTAGTAATGGATCCGTAAAAGCGAGGGTTTGTGTGTCGGAAGATATTACAGAAGCCGACAATATTCAGGTGATTATTATAATATTGAATATTAATTATTAAATGTGTTATAACATGTGTGATGTGTGTTCAAAGGCGGGCGATATTCTGATCACGTACTCGACGGACATCGGTTGGAGTCCATACTTCCCATTACTTTCGGGTATAATCACAGAAATCGGTGGAACGATATCTCACGGGGCAGTCATTGCCCGCGAATACGGGATCCTGAATACGGGATCCCGAGTCTGATAGCAGTGGAGGGCGCGTGTCGTGCCTTCAGGACCGGCGATATCTGTCTATTGGACACTAAGACACAGACCATCACTAAAATAGAGTGAATTCGTTATAGCATTAGAAATAATTTAAGACTTCACTGTATATTTGAAATTTGTATAAAAATTAATTAAAAATAAAATATCATGACTAAAGATGTCTAAATGATTAAATAATTTCTACAAATTTGTTAATAATAAATCGAAAACAATAATATATACTTGTATGACATTATGTATTTACATCATGACTTTAATTAACACTACAATTACATAGTTTTCAAAAGACTACCGAAAATTCTATCATAATATTTCGTTATTTTGTTCATAAAATACATTAATTATATTTTATACAGTATAACATTTATAAATAAATATTTTGTCATTTTTAATAAACATTATATAACATATTTGACCATGAATGACCACATATTCGGAAAGTCTTCATTGATGTGTGATATAATTTTGCTTTTAATTGAATCATGGAAATGATTTTTCAATTTTCATAACAGGTTATGGTTTCATAACAATTTATTAAAATGTAAGTATATTTTACTACTGTTATCGTAATTGATAAATATAATAATTATGTTTAGTTTCTTGTAAAAATATTATAAAAACTAGTTTTAATTAATTTATTAATATACAATAATCTTTATTAAAACAGTAAATATCGTATTAATGTCAAAATGCTTATCACAATAATAAGCCAACTTTATCATTGAATAACACATTTAGTGCATTTAACTACAAGCAGTACGAGTAGAGCAAAATGCTTTGGTTTATCAATTATAACTGACGGCCAGAATGTTTAAATTTATGATATCTTCAAATTTAGATACAATTTCTAACTCAAGTATAAATATCAGTGCATTTTACATGTATTTCTTACAATTAAGTTCTTACAAACTTTTTATAACTTTTTAATTAATTATATTAGTATTGTTTAATTATTGAAATCATGGGACTTTTATTTTCAATACCTGTAATTACAATATGTGTTAACAATTTATTGTCACTAAACCGTGAGATCAATGGCCAGTGGTTTACATATTTGACTCAATTCTGGAAATTATGGTCAAAAAAAAGTCAACAGAAGACAAACCGAGTGTTAACTCATGACGTCTGGAAAAATAACACTTCCGATGCCGGGATTATCCCCTTCCCTCACGAATGGAAATATGAATTACCACAACAGGTATGCATTGAGTGATATACTGTATGATATTAATTAACAAAATAAATTTTAAATTTAGACTAAAAATGAAGACGTGTTGATATATGGCGTGAATTCATCGAAACAAAGCATTTATATTGCAATCAAATGGAGACCAAAAGGAGTGAACGATAAGATCAATGCAACCATTAGTTTGAGATTTGATGACAACAACAGTAATAGCTATACATTAGAGGAGGACTCGGAG